ATATTTAGATTAACTTTATAGTTGGAGAACTCAGAGCAAAACTCCAAAAAAACAATGTTTTCTAAAGGTTTTTTTAAGCTTTGTTTTGAAATTTCTATAAAAAAAAAAAAATAAAAAAAAAAAAAAAAATCCTAATTGTTTAATGTTAATTTTTTTATTCAAAATTGATTGTTTATACTGGTATTGGTGGTTATGGAAAAAAATTCCTTTTGTACCAAAAAAACACTAAACCCATGCTAAAACCCAGTTTGCAATTTTTTTTTTCTTTTCAAATGACGATTTGGCTGTAAGAGAGCAGCGAATTAATAATATTTAGAGCAAACATCAAAATATACCCCCAAACTATTGGGTAGTATCAAGTTTTATACCAATTTTACTCTCAACCTACTTTGATTTCTTAATTAGAACTGCATGGGAAAAGATTAAGTTTTCTTTAAAAAAAAACCTGAAATTTAGATGGAAAGCCTTAAAAATGAAATGGAAGTCTTCAATTAAAATTCATGAGAGTTTGAGGATAAAATTGAGAAAAAAATAAAAACTACCTAAATAGTTGAGGAATATTTTTGAGGTTTGCCCATATATATTTATTATCGGAAAAAACCTATCTATTTTAACGTCTGGTACATTCGTTGTGTGATCCCTCAAGTTTGAATAAATTAGATTATGAATTGATTTACAATTCTATACTCTATGCTTCATTTTCAATTATTCCTTTTGTACTTGGTAACTTTGGATATAATAATGCTGAAAATTAAATTAAAGAATTTACTATTAAAGATTTTTTTTTATTACTGATCTCAATTTTTTTCCAGCATTCATTTCTTGGAAAAAACAATTTTGAAAATTTAGTAAAGTATGATATTTTTCATTAAGTGAATATCAGCATTACTTAAATTACTCCTTGTACCCTAAAAATAAAAAGAAGTCTTGCTACAAGTACAACTACATAAGAAAAATATAATATCTTTCAAAAGATATTCTGATTATTATAAAAGTTTAACGATAAATTTGTAATAATTTGAATTTTTTAAGTCGGAAACTTGTTTTTGTGAATAGAATCAAAACACAAAGTGTTTTCCGAATAACATTCAAATATTTAAAATATAAAGTATAAAGTGTTTTCGTGTTTAAATCATAGAATATTTAAAATAATTTACCTTATATATAAACTCAAAAATAAAAATACACATAACATTAAATACTACGTAATACATAAATTTTGATTTCATTGGCCTAAACTTTCAAAATTAATTGAAATACTTAAAATTTGAATTTTTTAAGTCGGAAACTTGTTTTTGTGAATAGAATCAAAACACAAATTGTTTTCCGAATAACATTCAAATATTTAAAATATAAAGTATAAAGTGTTTCCGTGTTTAAATCATAGAATATTTAAAATAATTTACCTTATATATAAACTCAAAAATAAAAATACACATAACATTAAATACTACAGAATACATAAATTTTGATTTCGTTGGCCTAAACTTTCAAAATTAATTGAAATACTTAAAAGAATTTTATACGATGATTTGGCAAAGATAATGAATCTAGTATACACTACAACAATATTGATATCTCCCCAAAACAATTGGCGTGCATGGTCACATCTTTTTCTTATTTCCCTCGTATCCTAATGATAGAAGTAGCATCTTAGAGTTTACTTATATACACAGAGTAAATATTTCTTCGATCAAATTTTAAGCAGATTATTTGTACCGAGCTGGTGCATTTACAGAAAAATTATTTTCCTTCTTCGGACTCCCCCACATGGGACTATGCAAACCTAACTAAATTTGAACAAAATACAAAGCTTATAACCATGGTCTGTCCTGGCAGTGGCAGGGCAATGGTGGCATTTTCTTTCTTTGGGTGGCTGTGTGTATGCCACCGGCAAAATTAAAGACCAAATGATGACGCCAATGTCACTTTTCGTTGGCAGTCCATTTCGGATTTTTCTATGGTGGGGCTCCTTCATGTCTTCCATTTCTTCCTCTCCATCTTTGCTTTCTCCACACTTTATGATCTTTATCCATACAATGAGACGACAGGAAATCACAATATCAGCAACGTGTAGAAGTTTGTTAAAAAAAAAAAAAAAAGGGTAGATGTAAAAGCAAGCTATAAAATTTCAAACTCTATCCATACATATATTAATTTTATATTTCTTCTCTTTTTTCTATCCCTCTTCTTTCGCCGAATGTTCGGTAACTTTAGTTTCACGAACCAAATCTTTGGACGGCTGCAAAGAAAAAGGGGGAAGACCATAAAAGCAGCCAAGGCCCCATTCCTCCAGGGTTTATTATATGATTTTTTTGGTAGACAAATTTGGTTAATTTGGTCGGCCTCACCATCTATGGCATGGAGATTTTCTTTCAGTGTATGGAAAATAAAAAGGTTAAATTTATAGTTTTAACAGTCTTGGTGCTTTTGGATAGAATTCAAAGGCATTGATTTTGTGTTGGAACGCATTATGAATCAGATTTTACACGTATGTTAGGTATTTAAAATAGTTTTTTTATATATGCATTTATAAATATTAAAAACATATTTCATTTAATTATCTCCAAAAGTGCTTCTTGATTTGCTCGAAAAAAAATTCCCACTCCTCTTGCCTGGGAATTTTTCTTTCCTCTTGTTAGGATCAGTCATTTTTTCTTGTTTTCTCTTTAATTTTTCCAATAAAAGTTTAGTTTAGGATAGCATATTCATTTTGTTTCACCTCATATATGCTTTTTTATCCTTTTCACTTTCTCTCATAATTCTCTCTTCTTCTTTTTTCCTCCTTAACTTTTCACTCAATCCTATTTCTTGTCACTTTTTTTTTGTTTTTTTATCTTTATTATTTTCTTTATACTTGTTAACCTTATTGTTAGTGACTAGTATAAATTATATTCTAGGATCTCACCTATCGACTTAAGCTTTTAGGTGAGATGGTCCTTAATATGGTATCGAGCTTGGTTGACCTTGAGATCTTGAGTTCAAGTCTCACTATCTCCAATTTCTCAAGTATTAAGCACAAGGCAATGTAGACCGTGCAAGTTTTATGCTCCAAATGTTAGGCTTTTTACTTGAGGGGTGTATTAGTGACTAGTATAAATTATATTCTAGGACCTCACCTATCAGCTTAAGCTTTTAGATGAGATGGTCATTTAATACTTATATTAACTCGGGATTTCCAAAGGTTTCATTTAGAAGCCATGCGAAAAAAATGTATTCGATGCCATATGGCTTTCTTTTCTTTCGAGTGTTATTTTATTATTATTTTTTTCCCTAATGGTTAAATGTAGCTTTCAAAAGATTTGTTCTACCAATTATCAGCGTTACAAGGTCCTTCGAAGATGATACGTCAGTATTGCATCAAACATGAAAAAAAATTTGAAAAAGTAGTTACACGTTGCAACATGTTTGTAAAATTTTAAAAGCAATTACCTCTAATACACAACTTTCTCCCGTTTCAAATTTAGATTATATGGAAAATTTGGTTTTGATGGTACAACTAGTTACATGGTATGATAAGTTACAATAAGTCCACTGGTAGGAGCATGCGTGGTTGTTTTTATTTCTTCCTATTAGGATATTTATTTTGTTATTTTAGATTGTATCAATTTTTTTATATATAAAATTTCTATGAAAAAAAAAAATTACACTCTTGCCGCTTCATCTATTTATCAAAAAGGTCATTTCATTTGTCATTGTTAGTAAAACTAGCAGAAAATACCTTCTTTTTTTTTTTTTTTTTTGTAAACTCCACTTTTCCTAAAAAATATGAATAGTTAATTAGTTGATTCCTCAAAAAAAAAAAAAAAAATCCATTACATCTATGTAGTATGTATGGATATATGCACGCATACAGTGAGAGAAAACTACCTGGCAATGTGTAGTAGGTAGTCCAAATTTCATTGAATCTCTTTTTGAATAATAATAAAAGTAGGTTCCAAACCTTGCCAAAGTTGAATGCAAACCTATGTGCCTCAAACTCTAATCTCCAATGGATGAATCAAAAGAAGGACAGATTCTTCACAATTGAAATTTTAAAAGGCTGTTAGTGTCATTTTTATTGTCTTTGAAAACAAGATGCAGAAACTTGTTTATTTTTGTTTTTTGTTTTTAAAAATAAAAATCACCAAAAATCTCTGAAAAAAATTGTAAAATAATAATAAAAAAAAACAATCAGAACTAGTTTCTACACTATTAATTTATGATTTCGAAGTTAAAGTTGGGTTCGAAACATAAGGAATAAATGTGGAATATGTTTAGACCGGGCCTACACGTACAAGATCGGATCCAAGGTACCCGAGAATCAAGTGAGGCTTGGGTTCAAGGTGTGGAGTGATTGGAAAGACAATCAAGATCCAACCATGATTGAGTCCGAGGCTTCAACGGTAAAAGCCAAGACCGGGTTTCAAAAGCCTAGGAGTCGGGCAAGGACCGAGTCTATAGAACCTAAGAGGTCGTGAGCGTAGCCCTAAATGTCCAAGATCAGCCCGATATTGGAGTCAGGCCTCGAATAGGTCTAGGGCAACTGAGATGGTCGAGCCATGGACAGGCCCAAGGTAACGTGATTGAGTAGTGATGGGGAAAAAAAAAAAAAAAAAACTGGTTCAATAACATGAGCATCAACTCCAGTAATCCGAACAAATGATTGAAACTAAGTACATTTCTTTTTAAATAAAAACTGAACACAGACGCGCAAACACACAATCTCAAGTTCATATGTATATATATACGTTCAGACATAAAACGCAAAAAGATCACTTCTTTCATGCTTTGGTCAATCTACAAATTATTGTTCCTACACAAAAATGGAATGTCATATTCTCCTTTTCTTTTCTCTTTTCTTCCCTAACACTATCAACTACGTAGAATTGTTTGGATGAAATCGTCCCTTTCCATCCATTTTCCACAATATCTTGAATGGAAACTCACGACTAGACCAATAGCTGCCGATCACTGTAAAATTGGAGGCAGCACCAAGTCCAAAATTTTTGAAGTCACTGCTATTGCTTCGTAGGACTAGAAGCTCCATTTTGTGTATGTTCGGCAGGTGGAAGCTTTGAAGGTGCACTTTTAAACAAGTTTTTTGCATACAGAGAACCAAAGACAATAACCTGATCCAATGTAGGAGAATTAGGGGCCTAGGGCTGGGAGAGGGAGAGAGTTTAAACAATGATTGTGATTAAAACTTACAGCTCCAATCCATTGTTCCCAGCTAAGAGGATGGGCAAACCACACACATGATAGCATGATGCTCACCAACTTCATTACAAAGACAAATGAAAAGGCAGCATTTATCAGAAGCATAGTTTTAGAGGGCAAAAGAATGAAACATTAGATTCAATTGGGGATTTTTCTATTCACCTGTCTCGTGGTCATTATGGCAGCAAATGTTAGAGCACCAAATGTTCGGATTGTGTAAGAAATGAAAAACTGACTAGCAGTTGCTACCTGCAAGGAATGATATTAATTCTCAGACTTAGTCTGATCTTCTCCGAATGTAATTGAGGATGGGAGGAGGATATTCAATCAAGTCAAGCCAAAAACATTTGGCCCCTTGGTATTAGAATTATGACAGTAAAAATCACTCACAGTGGACAGCAATGCAATGTCAAGAAAACAATCGTTATGGCGGACCACAAAATCTATAGCTGGAAGTAGGTGCCCTTGTAATATAAGGCCTACAGCAGAAATTAAGTCAATGCATTTAGTCACCAACAGAACAACTATAGCATAAACAAATAAAATCTGAAAGTAAAACAAATGTGCAAGACAAAAGCTGATGGTATTATATGCTTAAAATAGAGCTCTAACGTACTACTTGAAGCATTTGCCTTCATTTAAAATACGATTGGAAACCCAAAAGACGAAGGAAGTAAAGTCTCATCCTCTCTAAGTGAACCGAGCATGAGAAGATAGGCACCGCGTTTCTTCCTTTCCTAATTATACCAAGAGCAAACTTCACAGAGCTTAAAAGCATTACACCTCAGCAGGTTTAGCCTAGATGGTTAAGCCAATAACCCACTACCTAATTGGGCAATTAAAATGGAATCACACTGCCAAAATCATGTAAAAAAAGGTTCATGTGGAAAATCTATCCCAAGGACTCTCTCCCCATTCACCAAAAACCAAGGGACCAATCAAGATAATCCAATGATAGACGAAAGCCAAACATAAATCACAATATTTTAATAATTTATTCGTGAGAGAGAGATTGGTTTGGGAAACTCACCTGTCAAGCTAAGAATGCAAGAACACAATGTTGTGTAGAAAATTTGGTTGTGAATCTCCATATCATAACCTTTAAATAACTTATCTTGGAATGTGCTTGTAAAGCCATCAAAACTGTCAGAAATACAAATAAGGTTTATGTACTGAATAACATTATTGTTCCTAAAATTTTTCAGTAAACAATTAACAAAACACCTGATGTTATTTGGCTCACATCCATAAATTTATCAATTCTCTGTCCATACAATAAACTACTTGAGCGAGGAAGCATAAAATTGAAATGATTCGGTTGATTCATGTAGCATCACCATAAGAGACGACTTTCCCATTCTATTGGAGCAATCCAGTTCAACATGCATTCATGCCAAAACAGTTGATATTTTATTTCCAGTCATCCCTTTCAGGAACCAAAGCACATATACGCAAATGAGATATTTGATTTACAAACAGATAAAATTGTGATTTGCAGCAATTTCGCACATGGAAATAACAGCTGAGGCAACAATGGAGTACATTCAGTGCCCTTATGATGAGAAGAAATGTGTTTCAAATTGATACCTGAGATATCCAAGCATCAGGGAAACACCCCAAACAGTGTTTTCTCTTCCTCTGCTGTATGGACTGATGTCAGTTCCTGCCTTAATCCAAAAACAAAATAGAATTATGTCAGTGTGTTGTAGTCAAGATGCAAATAACAGTTATAGATCACCACCATGCATAAACAATAACAGCAGCCACTAGAAAATATAAACCATGTATACACAGAAAGTCAAGGAATATCTGTAGCAGGCAAGCATGGCAAGCTCTCAATTAACACTACGTCAGTCGTATATGTGTGTGTGTAAAGTTGACTCACATCTGGAGGTAAGGAACAAGGTGGTAAAATGAAGAATAACACTACTCAGGTTGGTTAAGATATTATGAACCAAAAAGATATGCACAAATCTCTGTTTGCAGTAGTATGGTTCAATGTCTTCCTTACAACTTTGATCATTCAATGCATTTATACCCAAAAGTCTCATTATGCCTTCCATTGAAGCTCTTTGCATTGATGCAACTCAAATAAAAAAAATAAAAATAAAGAATTTTGATAGCACATATCCAATCACCAGCAATTTTCAAGTCATTAGTAAGAAATCTACAAGTACAAGAATCTGATGGTTTTTTAAAAGTTTACGCTCAGTTATATTCAAAAAAATTATTTTTTTCATATATGGAACTCCAAAATCTATGCAGATGTTGATCTTTCGTAAAGTTGTGCTTTTATATTTATTTGAATTCCAGTTAACTTTGGCTTTTTCCATCTTCTCAATAAATGGAAAACTGTCCTTGATCCCAGAAAGTATAAATTATGGAGCAGAATGAAGTGAATTTAATAATTAAAAAAATCATGTAGCAAACAAGTACATGTAGATGCAATATATCAAAAAGCACTTAAAATGGGGTGATAGAGACAGGGATCATAGTCATTACTGGAAATAGAATGAAAACTGAACAACCGACGGTCACTAGAAAAGCCAACAAGTAGTCCATTCCCTTGTATCTCTTTTGCATGATAACAGTGCCCCATATCTGAACCAAAAAAAAAAAAAAAAAAAGAGAGAAATTAATAATTCAAAAGTTGAAATTAAAATAAAAATTAAAACTGACAGCAAAGTTATACAAGCCAAAAAATGCAGAAAGCTGACATTTTGAACATTCTGTTGAAACCAATTCATGAAGTCATACTCTAATGCATTACTGTAATCATTTCTTATATCTAAAAAAACAAATATTTCCACGATATTTATTAGAAATACGCAAAGGAAGTTGCTCCCACCAGGAAAAATTCACTGAGAAGTAAGGCAGAAAGAATTACATATAACCAGTGGTAAAGGACTTCAGGCTGCAAGTTGGCTTGCCTCCACCCCCACAACTACCGAGAAAAGAGAAAACTTGCACATACGTGACAAGCATTCTGAGAATAATTTTTTGGATCAAGTTCAACAAAGAATGATCTTGCATCCAGAAGAACGATATAGAACCACATTCATCCATCAAATGATTATTTTGCAGGAAACCAATATGAAAAATGCTTCAACAAAAGTACTGATCCTAATCTGCAGAAGCAGCTCTACCAGATGACTTCTTCAGGAAACATATTAATAAAAAAAAAGGTAAGGACGAATGTATGTTAGCACAAAACTATTAAATAACTATAAACCCTGCTGCTGCATCCTTGATTTACACTACTAAAGCCTGATGTTAGAACAATCAACCTAGAAAGTAAAATTGACATGATTGAGAGCTATATAGATTAAAATGCTTGCTACTAAAAATAATCCAAAACGACTGCAAAAAGTAACAGCATGGCTAGTCGCTGAAACTTAACGTACCATAACAGGAATCATTTTGGCACACTTAGCAAGCGTCTGAACAGGGAAACTGACATACTTGAGGGCCTGGATCAAGCACACATTGTAAGCAAAAGCATATAAATTGCTTATTCAGAAAACTAATTTCTAGAAAAATACTAATCAAGGTAACGGTAAAGAAAATAACAAAACATACCTCATACTGACATGTTGTGGTTAGTATGTTAGATACTGAAATGAGGCAGTACTTATAAACAGGAGCAACAGGATCCAAAGCTTTTTTACTTGCCTGAGGAAAACAAATCCCAAATCAATCCACAATTGTTCAGCCATTGGATTGTGATACTAAAATAGGCCAAATGGGAATTACCACTAGAGCAGCAGCAGAGACAGCAGATGTTGTAATGCGGTTGCAGAAAACAAGAAATAGCGAGTGCTTAAAATATTCCTTGTTCGATCCATATGGGACTCTCATGATCTTTTCCTGCCGCCAAAAAAATAAAAATAAAAATAAAAAAAATCAAATTTCAACCCTGAAAATAGAAAATAGAAAATAGAAAATAGAAAAAGAAAAAAAAAAAAAGGGGGGGAACAGAAGGGAAAGGGGGAAAAAAACCTGCAAAAGACCATAGATGACAAGAGTGGTCATGATTCCGGCGACAGCAAAAACTCCTTTCCATAGCTTGTTCTCTTTAAATCCAACTGGTAATAACGAATCGGCCATACTTCCATTCACAGAAACAATTATTGATTTTGTTTATCTTCTTTTGAAGCAAATTTTTTTTTTAAAAAAAAAAAAGTAAAAAAGGGAGTCGGGGATTTGGGATCGAAGAGAGAAGAGGAAAGGACACGTGTAAGGTTGTAGGGATGAAATAGATCACTGTTTATTCACTGCTGACCAGCAATTGCAATGGTCATCGTTCTCGCCGGCGACATTTTCTCTCTTTTTGAGTCCTGTCTAGAGTTCCAGACGTTTGTCGTCTATTTTTCTTCGGACGTAAAAAGCTATGCCACGTCACTTCATTTTAGATGTAGTTGTGACAGTCAAAGTCAATGGGCCCTTCCATCTCATAGAATATAAATTGTAATGAGTAAATTATAACCTAGTACTTATATTTTTATAAAACAAATAGCTTAATCCCTCTAGTCCTAAACAAAATTAATTACTCATTTGACCAATTTTAAACGTCAAATTAGGGACAAATATTTACGGAAAAATTGGTGCCACCTCAGAATTTCTGTAACGGAAAATAGGGGGAGGGACTGAGTTCATGGTTATTAAAATTTGGATTCAAATCTAATGATTTTATGATCCAAACAATCCTGAAAGATTTAAATCTCATGAAAAATCATTTTTTTAAGATCAAATAAAATTGGGATTAAAATCGTGAAATCGGGATCTTATGTTTTTTATGATTTTACATCTACTGAAACTATTGGGTTATTTCCTTGCAATTGAGTTTTTTTTTTTTTTAGATGGTAGTTTTTTCCTTTAGTATATAGTTTAATTTTGAGATTGGATAATGAAATTTTTCATTGTGGATTTGATATTTGATTTAATTAATAAGATACTAAATATTTTTAATACCCAAACATTTCCTTTTATTTTCTAGAGCGGCATGGATGAAACATACCTAAATGAAAGGGTTGTTAATGTTAAAAGAATATATCTTGGGAAAAAAAACTGAAGTGCAGAAATTATTTTGTCAATATAAAAACTGACTTAGAAGTATAATTTAACCTAAATGCTCCAATTCTTTAGATTTCAATAACAATAAATATAACTGAAGATGAGCTTTTAAATTCTTTTACATGTCTATTAATTAGTACTATTCTTTTCCATATCTGGTTTCTCCTTACATAATTTAATACTTCTTAATTTTATTCACTTAAACTTAATTTAATGCTTCTTAATTTTAAAGCAAATTCAAATACCAGTATTTGTTTGTATCTATAGAAATCTCAACCAATTTTGGTTCTTCTTAACAAGTAATCTTTAACACACAATTCCTCAACTGCAATTATATATATATATATGGCTTTTAGTAAACAATTCCAACATAATAGTAAAAATTCTTAATCATTAAAAAAAAAACCTAATAAAAAAGCTCTAATTATGAAAAAATCATAATTAAATTAGATAAATCTATATAATTTTAGAGAACCCAATTGTAAGTACTAAAATTATAAGTAAAAATATCTTAATGGTTAAAAATAATCTAATTAAATTAAGCAAATCTAATTGATTTTTTGAAAACCTAGTGGTAAGATATTAAAATTATAAATAATTGTAATGCTTAAAAAGCCCTAATAAAATTAAGCAATTAATCTAATTAGTTTTATTCAATAACGAAATGTAAGGAATTACGATCTCTACCCGTTACCTTTTCAATTATGTCGCTAGTGAAAATAAGAGGTTGGCCAAAAAAAAAAAAAAAACAGAGAAATTGACAAAATGAGCTATGTAAAGAGGATATAAAGGGGAAATCATTATAAATTGGATTTTGAAATCAAATTTAACTTCTTAAACGAGAGGAAGGCACTGTTAAACAAAAAAGTGAACGGTGAAAGAGAAACGAGAGGAACAATGAGAAAGGTTAGGATTCTTTAGAAGTCAAGAGTACAATGAATTTACATGAAAAGTAATTACGTCAAATTTAGCTAACGGTCAACCAAAAGTCATGGATGAACATATAAATTTTTTGATATTGAGGACTAAGTTGTAATCACGTTAAAAATTGAGAGATGAAAAATAATTTACTAAAGTAATTTAGGAAAAGGAAAGGACAATATGTTGTCAATAAATAGTAGTCACAACACGACGTGGCAAGTTTAAAAATGGGAGAAGAATTCCACGCGAGGAGAAGGTGCACCCCACGCATTACTTGGGATTTGGGAAACAAAGGGGAGGGGGCCTGTTTCGAAAACGTTTCTTTAAATTGAAAGCTTGGGTTTAAAGTTTATACGAGTCCCTCTACTTTTAATTTTCTACTAATTTAGAACTCTTACTTTCTATTTATAATTATTATCAATTCTTTACTTCTAATTTTTTCATTAGTTTGTCCCTGCATCCCTCCTCCTTATAACCAGCAATAGATCATTTCTTTAGGTTTAAATGCAAAGTGGAAGGTGGGTGAATAGTTAAAATCAAAATAAATAAAACTTTATGTAATGTCTAGTACATAAATAAGAGAATTTTGAAAGAAAGAGTTCAAAATATCTTGTGTCTCACACATTTTTTGTGCATTGCAAGTCTATTGTAGCATGAAATATAGGAGGATGCATTATAATTCTCGAAATGCAGTACAATGAGCAACTAACCTAGGACAAGAGTACAAAACCTAATGTCGGATGCTCATCCATGGTTGTCATGTGATTGCGAGTGAAACCAAGGAGGGAGATGAATAGTAGCAAGCCAATGGAAGTTAGATTGGGGGCTTAGACGATAGGTCATTCGAAGCGCTTTCGATTGGTCCTATTATCCAACCTTTTCTTCTATTTTGATCCTTATGTCTTTTAGATTTATCTCAATTGTACCCCTTAGGCATAGCATTTTAGTCCCTAGTTTCAATCTTGAAATTGTATCTATATGTCTCTCAATTTTGAATTCTAAACTTTTAATTGTTTTGATTATGTCCTCGTTTATTTCTAATTATACTATCCATTTTTTCAATTATACCCTTACCTATCATATAATGCAATTAGTTATCTATTTATTTACTATCTTTTTTTATTATTTTGTTCTTTTTAGAAAAATAAACTTAAATCTTAAAATTAAACATAAAACCTATAATGGTAAAATTGACAAAATAAACATGAAAAATAAGATAAAATAAAAATGAATGAAAAATAACATGAAATAAATATAACTCAAATTTTAGGTTATCACATATAGAAAATAAATACAACATACGATAGACTTGTTATGAACCTTTCAACATATAGTAATTGCTTGTAGGCTTATCATGATCCTCCTTGTTCAACACGTAATGTTGCAATCGAGTTTGCTTAACGAGTTCGAATCACAAAAAGGCTTGAAATAGACTTTTTAAGTGGATTTTGATATAAAAAATAGCCTTTGATGGGTTTTCCATCACCACCAAGTTATTAACCTCTGAATCAACCATTTTGGATTGGTGAGACTTACGTTAAATGGACATTCGAATCAAAAGTTATGATCTCGTTAACCGGGTTATGTATATTTGTCCTCCGACACAATTCTACTTGGTTTTTCAAGCCCAAAAAAATTCATTAAGGTATTGTAATTTTTTTTTTATTATCATCAAATACCCACATAAAAGAAAACCTTAATTTTCTATTGCTTTATGAATCTTTGACTTGAGAAAGAGAGGGGAAAACCAAGAGAAAGATCATATATCAAGATACTTGAAAAAGTCATCATAATTTTATCCTTCGTGACACCTAATGAAATATAAGGTAAATTTATGTTTCTTCTTCATTTTTTTCCTATATTTTTATATACGTGAAAAGAAAAAAGGTTGCACAAGTTGTGCAAACAAATAATTATGTTGCTTGCATAAACCAACAACTATTGCTAGTTGTATAGAACAATAATGATTTACTAGCTGTGCAAACTATCAATTAATGCTAGTTGTGCAAACCATCAATTAATGTTGGTTGCCCACCCAATGACAATATTTTTTTATTTTTTATTTTTGCTTTGTGTTGATTTTTTCTTTCTTTCTCTATTTGTATAAGAATACCAATAATTTGGACTTATTACTTTATTTTGGTTCATGGCTAACCATGCTAATTTGATACTATCACTCCAATTTGGTTTCGACTAGCCACTCTATTTTGGTTCCTAACCAGCTATCATCTTTTCTTTTAACTTGCTTCTTTCTTTTTTCCATACTTTCAAGCTACAAGATAGAATGTCAAAACGTTAACAAGAAAACTCGCTTTGATAGTCAACGAACTTTTTAGAAGTAATGAAGTGGATATACTTATCCCTCTCCACAATACGTAAAGGACCTATCCATCCTTTTAGATGTTCTTTCAAGAGAAACAAAGAGTCAAGTGAAAACAAACTGGTAAAAAATTATCCCTCAAATAAGGAGGTTCATTAGTGGAGAATACAAAATGAGATTTAGTAATAATCCGATCATCACACTAAATTCTTATCTATAATTTTGTATGAAGGGAAATCATATTTTGCTATCTTTTTGCTATTTCTAATGGAGAGAAAGATGATAAGAAAAGAAAGTGTTATCAAAATGACAAGAATAGATAGACATGATTTTCAAAATCAATATATATATTGACCAATTTAGAGTTCTTGGGATTTTGGACATCATTCTCCCAAGTAAATACCTAAATATCCATTTTGACAAAAGCAAACTTATATAGAGCAATATACTTTTTTTTGTTATAACAACCATACTCATATTCTTATAGTTATTTATGGGGAAATTACCTTTATCTTGGAGGACGTCTAAATCCTCTTATAGCTTTTTTTGTTTGGAAGAAAAAATTGTTTAATACTAGAGTGGATGGTGAAAATCCCATATATCAAGAATTATTGAAAGGAGTTGGCAAAACAAGACTTTATAGCTAAGGTACATTCAACTTTTCAAACTTCATGGATAAGTATGAGAAGAAATAAAAAAATCTAATGGACAAGTAAATTTTTTCTTTTTGTTTTTTTCAAGTAGCAGTCTCCCTAACTCTTTTATCCCTTTTTTCAAGGTTTTTTGTATCATAAAATGATAGGCTTTATATATTTTAATCCTTTTGGCATTTTTTTTTCAAAAATAGATAGAAAATACATAAACTAAGCTTTCAATAATCATATTAACATGAAAGGTATTTTTTATTAAAAACTCCAAGTTTATATAACGTGGCATAATATGTAAGAGGCCATTTTGGATGTCAATCCACATAGGATGACACGTGGCAAAAAAAAAAAATCAAAATTGAGAATAGATAGACGACATGTCGCTCACTAATCCTATTTCAAAAACAAATTCATAATAATACAAACCCAAATCAAATTCTGAAAAATCCCAAATCCTTTTCTCTTCCTTGCTCGTCGAACAAGAACTCCTCTCTCTCTACTATATATATATATATATATATATATATATATATATATATATGTAAAGCTAAACTAAAATCTCGTGGCTCAGCCAAGCACGGAGTTTGGCCAAATGCACATGACGTTGTCATTAGAAAGACAAACTAAGCTTTAAAAGCTCATGGATCGGTCCGTGTGCATCTTGTTTACAAGAACATGTCTCCTAGCAAATTTTAAAAGTATGACACTTATCTGCCTTTGCATCCATTCATCATTTTATTTTGAAATGTCAAGGCTTAATTAACGGGTTGAGTATCACCATCGTTGTGGACGGTTAAGCTAATTACGGGATTAATATTCTTCTTAGAGATCTTGAAAGGGGTTGTTATTTTTTCACAATCACTAACTCCCTAATGTAGTCACCAAAATATGTAGGAGATTCTTGAGATCTAATCAAATGATTGGTCGACATGTTAGGATATAGAGAGCTAATGTTGTGATTTATAAAAGCGATAGTCAACCAACTAAATAGGATAAATGCAAGTAATTAAAAGCGTGGGAGGAAGAGAAGACTATGCTAGTAAGGAGCAAGTTAGAGTGACAAACAGGTGGATGATCAAAGTTCAAGCCGATAGAGTTGTAGGTTATGTCTAGTGTGTGAGTAAGTTAGTTTAAAAAGGGAGAATTCAAATTTTTTTGTCGAAGATCAAAAAGTTGAAATCCCATTACAATTGTTTGTGGGCTTGATATTTATAGTGAAAAAAAAGGATGATATTTGACCATTAGAATTGTGCCACGTCGTCCATATTTGGATGATCATATTCGAGTTAGTGAAATTAAGTTTTTTTAAAAAAAAATTGAACCGTTTTAACTTGCTAGCAAAGGCTAAACAAAATAACAATTTAACCTTTCTTTAGTGAATCTTACTTCGAATCCACCAAATCAATTTTTGTAATGCATTCTAATGACAAGACATGGGCACTAATCTTATTAGAGTATTAATGTCTAATTTTGTGGGACCTAAAGTTTTAGGTTAGACGAGGCCTATCCTCATCCAATCTATTTATGGTGTAGTTTGGACTCACGCCATAACTAAAAATAATAATAATAACATGTAATAAAACTGATTAATTATTGAATTAATTTTAAAGAAAAACCGAGTATATATAGAACACACACGTTTACAAATATTAAACAACAAATACACACAAATAAGAAAATATGTTATATTGGCACTTTGGTTTCTAAAAGAAAAAAACAAATTCACACAAATAAAATCTCTCATATTCTCTTATATTGGCACTTTAGTTCCTAAAACAGAGTATGACTATTGTGATCATCTATTTCACTCCCATGACCAAATCTAAAAGCTATTCACATCTCTCTAAATTTTTATAAATCCAAAATGAAGCCAATCCATTAATATTACAATAAAACTATCAAGATTATTAAAATAGCTAATGTCTACAAAAATAATATAAATTTAGTAAATACATTTTTTTTCATATAAAGAAGATAGTTTGAGTAGAAAGAATGTTTATACAATATTTCTTAAACTTGAATGGAGTTTTTGTTGAACTAGATATTTAGATAATTTCTATAGTTTCTTGATATTTTCGCTAGAGGGTAATGCTATTCGATTTAAATCAAAAAATTAAATCGAACCAAATAGAAATATAAATTTTGATTTGGTTTTTAACTAAAAAAAAAAATGAATTGAATTTTTTTTTCAAATTTTAATTCGGTTTTTTTTCAGAATTTTTTATCTTATTTTTTTTTAAGTTTTAAAATAATACAAATAAATAAATAAATAATAAAAAAATCAATACCATGACATTATTATTAATATACGATGGATTGATATTTTTCATCTATTCATATTATTCAAAAAAATAAAAAATTGGTTTAAATTGAAATCAAAAATTGAAATTTTGGTTTTTAAACTAAAAAACTGAATAGTAATTTGGTTTGGATTCAGTTTTTATTTTTATAAATTCGATTAATCAAAAACCAAATATAAATTATTAAAACTTGAACAAAAAAATCAAATGATGAGTCCTAATTTAATTCCTCGAAGGTATTACAATATGTAAATGAAAAGAATACAGAAAAAGTTAAATTTTTGGAGGGATAACGCCCCCTAATCACGTTGCTAAAGCCTGTGCGTAGAATGTAGATTAATAAATAACATTCATTTAATTTCATATTGAATTGCTAACCCAAATTTTAAACCCTCTACGTATACATGAATAAAAAAAATTTAATTACTTGTACCAATAATTATATTTATATCATATGAGCTGCTTTGTTGCAAATGAGTCTAGCCGTTCATGAGCGTCATGAAACTTGGTTTGTTGAAGGCTCCAGCTGTTTGAGCTTTTTTATGATAATTAACAAGCTAACCCAAGTCCAATCTTAAGGCATATATGCTTTTTGATCAAGCATAGTTTGATTTTAATCTAGCTGAACTCATTTAAGCTCGTGTACTAATTTAAGAGTTTGTTGGTTGGTTAATATAGTATATCATGAAAACTTATAAAATTAAAAAGAGTTAATTACTCCACTTTTACTGTGTTTTGAAAACCTTAATTACATTTTCCAATTTTATTTTTTTTATGATTGCACTTTCTATCTTCTTGCAACAAATTTGTTAGTTGATCGTTAAAAAATGAGTTGATTTTTGACCAAAATATCATAAATGACGAGAAGTTAATTAACATGTGGAATACATAAGCAAAATGTTTATTAATATTGAAAAGATTCAGTCTGAAAAATCATTCATTTCACTCAACTTCGTTTCATCCTGAAATTAGTTTTTTAAAAAATCAAGTAAAATGTGTTGTTTTCATTTATAAGAAAGCATGTCTTTTATTTTTTTTATTTTATGATTTATTAAAAAATACATCGATGCATGAATAGCATGAATTTTCCAAAAAAACATAAACTTTTTTTTGAAAAAAAAATTGAGACTTAGCTGTATGAGTTTCAAAAATCTTAGGTTTTTTTTTTTTTTCAAAAAAAGAGAGTGTGATCAATAAAATGAAAGTTTAATACTTTCTCTCTTATTTTGAAATATATGAAAAAGTTAATTCTGTAAATTTAAGGTGGAAATCGTAATTTTCCAAGAGCGTATGGATATCCGAAATAAAAATTAGTAAACGTAATTAACTCTATTGAAAAATAAATAATTTTCATATCTATTATCACGATACATTTTTAATCAGAATATCTGGCCACAATGTTATAAATAAATGAATTTTAAGTCTATTCCTTTCCTTTCGTTGGCTCATTAGTCAACTTACAAGAGTTGAGTTCGAAAAAATCTAAGTCGACTACGAGCCTAATTAATTTAGAAGAATCGAGCTTGAATTTTCATGTGTTATCATCGTCAAAAACACAAATCAAGTTCAAATCCTATTAAAATTAGATAAGTCTAACCGAAAAGTTGATAATATCATATCAAGACACTAATTTATATCATAAGTAACAGTAAAAAATTCAAGGCGAAACATCTAAATAAATTAATAATATTATTAATTACATTATTATTGAAAAAAACTAAAATCAGATAAGTCTACCCTAAAAGTTAATAATATTATTTACACAAATTCAAGATGAAACATCTAAATAAATTTATTGACTCACGAAATGGTTTGTCCGTATGGAAAATCATTACTACTCCTTAGGAAACAGCCCTCGGGTTCGACCGTGTGAATAACTTGGAAGTTTTATCCAACGAACTTAAAGTGTAAAGGCGGATAGGAGATTTCACGCGCTGAAGGATATTGTCATCACAATTCGTTGACTATTGCTGTCAGCCAATCACTGCCCAAAATAGGAAAGGCACTTCCAAACACTGAAATGCACATCCAGAACTAGAGGCGGGCTTTTGTTTGTTCTTTATACCAGTAGAATACAATCAAGTACGCAGTAGAAGAAAATTGAGAGTCATTCAGAACCTAGAAGAGGGCTTTTGTTTTTTGAATCATTTCCAGTTCCATGGGCTGTGCCAGCTTATATACTCACCTCTTGTTTCCACACATACCAGCAAGTTCAAGGTTTGTACTAGCTAGTAGTCGTAGTATCTTTTAGTAACACGCTGTCATTAATATAATTTTGCTGTTGTTGTCCAATTAACGATGGTTCTATTGCCGCTTTCACAGACTTTTAGAGACTCCTCGTGGTATAGGAACAGGAGCCGACCTGTGCAGACACAGGTCGTTGAGTCCAACATGTTGGGCTATTGGGGTTGGAAATGTGTCTGATAGTTTTTTCAAGGATAATGAAATTGGGTCTCTGTTGGGTGTTTTTGATGAGTCTGCTTCAGCACCATTTGGGACGCTTGATGCTGAAATTACCCCTGAAACCATTGATTTCTTCGTCAGTGATGCAGAGGGCGATCCTGACTGCCCAACCAAAGGGTACGCTTCAATTGAGCACGCTCTCAACACTTTACGTGAAGGAAAGGTCAGTCTTTATCTGTCATTATATATTTTGCGGATTTTTTTTTTAAATAATTTGTTCTCCTCATGTGTTTCTACTTGGCTGTATTTTATGTCGAAGTCTGCAAAAAATTATACATGCATATGAAAAGTAATACATCAAAATACCAGATTTATGAACAAAATAAAATTAACTTATAACGATTCTTGTGAGTTCTCATAATTATGATGTAACCATACATAACCATGAGTTAAATGTAACCATGACTGCAAATCTTTCAGTTTGTAATTGTTGTAGACGATGAAAACGGGGATATTGAAGGAAACCTTGTCATGGCAGCATCTCTTACAAGTCCTCAGCATGTGTCGTTTATGGTTAAGAATGGATCAGGAATTGTTTCTGTAGGCATGAAAGAGGAAGATCTTGGAAGACTTAAGCTTCCTCTGATGTCACCAGAGACAGAGAACGAAGATTCTTCTGCTCCCACTTTCACAATCACTGTGGTAAGTTCTAATTTGCAGGTCTTAGAAGATTCCCTTCCATTTTAGCCCCGCATATACCACCCTACTCTGGAAAAATACTGTAATGCTATTAATCATTAATATCTGTTAATCATGGTCTGCTTGATGATCTTTTTGTTTATGGCTTTTCAGGATGTAAAATCCGGGACCTCTATTGGAGTATCAGCATCAGACAGGGCTAAGACTGTTCTTGCTCTTTCATCTCCTGATTCCAAACCTGAAGATTTTAGAAGGCCAGGCCATGTGTTTCCACTTAAGTATCGCAATGGTGGGGTTTTAAGAAGAGCTGGTCATACTGAGGCTTCTGTAGATTTGGTAATGCTGGCTGGATTGCCACCAATTTCTGTTCTTTCAGCGATTATTGATCCAGAAGATGGTTCTATTGCCTCCTTAGCTGATTTAAGAAAGTTGGCATTGGAGCACAACATACCAATCGTCTCAATAACTGATTTAATAAGGTGCCACAAGCATATAATTATTTCTTGGCTAAAAAATGGTGATTGTTGATGTCTCTGTGATAAATTACTTGGAAGACTGATTTTTAATGCTACTTTAATCCATTTTGGCAGTTGAAGCGTAACCTGCTGGTGCTTCTCGAATTCCCTGTGCCTTCTATGTCTATGTTTACTGATCTCCCTGTTCCCTAGTTCCTATAGCTCATGAATTTCTTTCTGGCCGTGCTATTGTTCATGTCAATTTATTTTCTTCAGCTTGTTAATTCAGGACTTGTCTTCTCATGTTATTGTTCAATATGTCACTGACTGTAGGTACCGGAGGAAGAGGGAACATTTAGTGGAGAGAAGTGCTATTTCTCGTCTACCTACAAAATGGGGTCTCTTTCAAGCCTACTGCTACCGCTCGAAGCTAGACGGTACAGAACATTTAGCTATAGTCAAGGTAAAAATGTCATTGGAATTTTTCTCTTTTCATCTACAGAAGGGCAAGTTCGAAGCTGCATTTGAAAACAAAATAACCTGAACAGGGAAATATTGGAGATGGACAGGATGTTTTAGTAAGAGTTCATTCAGAATGTTTAACAGGGGATATATTGGGATCCGCTCGTTGTGATTGTGGCAACCAGTTGGATTTGGCAATGCAGTTAATTGAGCAAGCTGGTAGAGGGATCCTTGTTTATCTTCGAGGTCATGAAGGAAGAGGAATCGGCCTTGGTCACAAACTTCGAGCCTACAATTTGCAGGATCAAGGTCATGACACGGTACAGGCTAACATTGAACTTGGATTAGCTGTTGATGCACGCGAATATGGTATTGGCGCTCAGGTCAGTCGAAAAATTGCTTCCAAATTGGGGGAAAAAAATGTTGGGAATATGAGAGGGATAAAAAAGTGTAAACAACTCTTTCCAATTAGAAAGCTACAGGAACATTCAGAATAATTATGATCATGCTTGCTTTCTTTTAACTTTGATGCAGATTCTAAGAGACATAGGGGTCCGAACGATGCGCCTGATGACTAACAACCCTGCCAAGTTCACTGGCTTGAAGGGCTACGGCTTGGCTGTTGTTGGACGGGTGCCTATCTTCACACCCATTACAGACGAAAACAAGAGGTACTTGGAAACCAAGCGTACCAAGATGGGTCATATATATGGGTCTGATATACGAGGACCATTAGCTGGATTCATCAACCCCACTGAAAATAACACACAATCACCAGAGGAGGAATGAGAGATTCATTGATAAATATTAAAGTGGCACGCCTCCTTCTGTATCATACAGGGCTTTGTTTTTCTTTTAATCTCTCGTCGATTCCTGTCACTGCTATAATTTTTCCACTTTCTTATTGACTCAGAGTCAAAACATGCTTCATCTGAAACAAAAAGGGTACACTACTAAACCTCCCCTCAAGTTTGGGGATTCTATCAACCTGATTGAGCTGGCTTGCTCACTGCCAATATTAGGAGAAGCACTAGCCGGGGTAGAAGTCAGATTGGGACTCTTTCTTTACACCTCCCTCTTTCTTAATTTTTTTGCGTTTTTTTTTCTTTCTAAACACTTTTTTCAAAAGTCGTAGAAGCACTAGCTCAACTTCACTATTCACTCAAACTATTTGCAATATGCATCTTTGCTGTATAATGATATTTTTTTAATTTTTAAGATTTCTTCAAGTATCTGATGCGAGTTTTACATGATATGGACTTTAGTGTCTAATATTTCTAAAAGATTTTATTTTACTCCCTAATTTTATGTATGTTGTTATTGGTTCCTAGATGAAAAAAGAGAATAAGAGAGAGAGAGAAGAGAGGAGAGAGAAAGTCATGATCGGTTCTAATTTTTTGGCTTTTTTCAATGTTGATTTTGTATTCATATTGTTTATCTTGACGAGGAGTGAGTGGTCATAATGATTTTAAATTATAAAATAATTAAATTGAAGTCCGATAAAATTTGAATTTTCCTATTTGATTTGTTTGTTTTTTATTATTTTTAATATGCATTTAAATGATATTGGAAATGGAATTTGGAGGTCTGAAACTAGAATTTTGATTTTCCAGCGAAGATTCCAACAATGTTTTTGATAAATTTGAGTTACAGAGGTGCAACGCGTCGCACCGTTTGTTGACCAACGCGAGCGACCTACCGTCTATTAGTTTTTTTGTTTAAAAAAAAAAAAACAAAAAGAGCTGCAAGAGCTTGCTTTTTTAGGCCCAAACACGCAGGTTTGCTTTCTCAGGCCTAAGCACGCAGGCTTGCTTCATCAAGACTTGCTCGTGCTTGTTTTAGGTCGTTTTAGCTTTGTATTTTTTTTTCTAGATTTTTTAAAAAATTTTCTATTATTGAATTGAGCGTGAAAATTATAAAAAATCAACTGTTAATTTTTTATTTTATTTTTTAGTTTAGCAGTGATAAAATATTTATGATATGTTTTAAACTTTAGAAAGACCATATATATAGAATTATGTTACTCTTATTGTTTAAATTTGATTTCTTTAATTTATCATTTCTTATAAAAATTCTCATAAAATTAATTTTTTATTTTTCTCTTTTATATAATTTTATTTATTAATAAATATGATTTATTTTTCTTTACGTATGTATTTTCAAATAAAATTTTAGAAGAAAAAAGAAATAAAGAAATGAGATACCCTGAAATAAATAATTGTTTTGATGAAACATTTTCTTTTCCCGTAATTGGATGTTGATACACAATCCAAGAGATTTATTTCTTTCTATTCCTCATTATCTTTATTTATTACTATTAACAAATCAGAAGTAAATGTAAGAAATTACAAGACCACCGAAATTTAAAATGATGAATTCACTCTTAGGACACAGTAAATCCTATAAGTGATTGTTTTGATATATTATATAAATTTTTTGAAATGCAAGAATGATTATTTTACCTTTTTAAAGATATATTGATATAATTCATATGATATATTCATATGATTATTTAATAAGAGTATTAAAAAGCTAGAAGTACACTTTAGATAATTTTATCTCGAATATTTTTTTTAAAACCTAAATAATCAATTAAAAAAATAGAATTCACGTATTTTATTTGCTTCTTCTTTGTATAATTAAAATTTATTGAAATTAATTTTGTTGTTATTTTTTATTTCAGTCTATTAATTAATTTTAATATATTCTTTGCAACTTAATCATTTTTTCTTAACATTTTTCAATTTATGCTGAACACTATATAAAAGAGCTAAGATTATTAGTTTTATTATAAATTAACTATGCATCTACACACGTAATACCAATCATTTGTTATTATTGTTTTTTTAATATTCTAAAACTAATATCTTTCAAATAAAATATTTGAAATAATGTTTTAAGAGAACCATCCAATGATTCAAATATAATTTTTATACTAGTATTATTGATTTTTTTTTTTTGTGAATAAATATGTATAAATCAAATGTACATATTTTTTTTTAAATAATTTTCTCATAAACATTAAATAAAAATGAATAAAAATTATTTGTTAATTTTTATACATGTTTTTATATTAATTGTTGCTTTATTTTTTTTAAGACAATCTTATGAAAAAAGTATTAAGTCATTTAAAAAAAAAGATTAAATTTTCTATTTAGATTATTGTAAATTTGTATTTAAGAATCAATGTATTAGAAAGAACATATCATGTTTTTTAACTACAAAATTTATGAAAAATATAAGAAAAAATAAATTATAAAATTAGATATTTTTTTATCTTTAATTTAATATATTTTAGTAGATTCATAATATAGTAAAAAATATCAAACTAAAATAATATGTTCAAATGGTTTCGCTTGTTCTCTCCTGTGTATGAAGTAGCAGGAGCAACTAACTAGGGTTTTCTAAATAATGTGGCATTTAATATAGGAAAAGATTTTTAAATCATGGAATGTGAATGTTGTCACATTTATCGATGCAATGATAATTATAAATTTAGTAACTAGTGAATCACCAATTATGTAATGCCGCGTCACTTATTAAAAATCAAGACAATATTCTAATCTATGTCTTCTGAATTGATCCAATTGATCCTTGTGTTCTCTAAAACTATTCAATTAACCTAATAACTCATTTCCATCAAGAATTTATGTTAACTATGTATGCTAATACTGTAGCATTATTATATATTTTCATTTATAATATAAGGATTTATACCACTAAATAAATTATTTTAGAAGATATATTAAAAAATTAGAAGAAATAAAAACTCCATGATTAAGCCATTTTTCATTTTTCACTAAATTGACTTAGTTTTGTTTCAAAATTGATTTCCATAAAATTTCATTAGAAAGATTGAATCATTCTCTATCTCTAAAAAACTTTGAGGAAGTGACATTATTATCATTATTATTATTGTAAGTTTCTTTAACTTTTAACAGGTACAAGTCATATGATCTATGCATTTGTAATATATTTTTTGAAGCAATTTTTTTTGGTGATACACATTCTACTTTAATATAAGAGGCCATCCCATGAATGAAAAGTAGACGTGAAGGAATTAGCTATTAGATTAATTAGACAAATTTAGAGAAGAAAAGTTAATTAAACAAATTAACTAAATTAAACATTAATAGTACTAAATTAGCTAAACAAAACGTCTTAAACATGCAAATTCTAAACAAATATATAAATATGATAAATAAATAAATAAACATTTTAGCACGCATATTCTAATGAAGCAAGTAAATTGGAGTATTTTTGAAAATAAAATTTTAAATTGTCAAATATTAAACAAGAGGTGTGTTGCCATTTGACATTCTGGTAATTTATCACTTGTTCAATTTAGTAACACAAAAAAATTACTGCTTATTTTTTTATTCAGAAAAAAATTAAGAAAAATCAAGATTTTGATAAAGGAATTACTTATATAATAGAAAAGATAAAAATCACCCTACCCATGCTGTTACATTGTGAGTAACTAACAAAATTCTACTGTAGGAGGTTTGCTTAATAAGTCTAATATTATGTAAGTGCTTATATCTTTTGGAACAAACTAGCTTAATTATTAGGTTAGTGACTTGAGAACAACGTAACAACGCTTTGGTTTATCGCCTTTATTATTATTTTTTGATCGCTGGAGTCCGATTGGGGTGAAATTAGGTATTTCAGTTCCTTTTCATTTTATTGAAAAAGCGACGATCATCTCAACTCTTTTTTTTTTTAAAAAAAAAGAAATTGGATTTTTAGGGCTTTTAGAGCCGGACTTGAGAAACAAAACCAATGAATGATTCAATCTTTTAGAACATAACCCAATATCACTTGTAACATATACATGTTAAAAGTTAAATAAACCTAAAATAGTAATTAAAAAAAATTACTTGCTTGAAATTCTTTAAAGACAGAGAGTGATTTGTTCTTTTTATTGAAAATTGATAGAAATCAATCTTGAAACAAAATTAAGCTAAATTGGTAAAAAAGAAAACGCTTAACTATGAAGTTTTTAATTCCTTGACTTTTTATTGAAAAATATTTTTAAAATATCTTTCAAGATAATGTATTTGATGACATAGATAATATAAAGATAAAAAGTCATCTCATAAATTTAACAATGCTATATAATTAGCATACGTAGCTAACACTGAAACAACATAGAAATTAGTTACTGAGTTAATTGAATAAATTTATTAAAAAAACATTGGATTAATTGAATGACTTCAAATAACATAAGTCAGTTGATCAAATTAAAAATATAGAGAAACAATGAAGAAGGGATATAAAGATAAGGGTATAATTAGAGTATTTTCCAAAAAAAAAAAAAAAAAAGATTAATGGTTGCAGGAATCCCCTTACTCTTTCTTTCATTTTTATGGTCTCTTTATTTTCTTTTTCTTTTTAAATTCATCACTATATATTTGTTTTAAGTTCATCCTTCCATCAATGTTTTTGGATCAACATTTTTAAATCACACTATTAATCTCATAGGATTGTGCACGTGTTAACTTTTTTTAAAAAAAATATCTTCATCTCATTCCTATATATATATATATATATCGAATTTAAATAAATAAATTAAAAAATAAAAATATATCCGATTATTTTTTCTAAAAACTAGAAATAAAAACTAAAAAAAAGGTGAAGATAAAAATAATTTTTATACAAAATATCATTTATGGATTTAAATTCATTTCTATAATAGTAAGCGAATTTTGAATATAAATAAAATATTTATATTATTTTTTTAAAGTGAATAGAGTTTTAATTAAATTTTTAGCTTTTGGAATGGCATTTGTAGACTTTTACTACTTTTGAGTGAATATTTTAAAAAAAAATCTTAATAAAATTTATATTTTCACTTTTGAGACAGATTAAGAATTTATAAAATAAAAATAAGTAAATTTTAATATAGAATCTTGAGGTATTATAAAATTTTAAATATCATTCAAAAGTTTAAAAATTTAACTACAACTCTTTTGATATTCTTTTTTATAAAAAATACTATAAATATTTCATTATGTTAAAAATTTCTTTACTATCATAGAAATAAATTTAAAATCATAAATGATATTTTGAATAAAAAATATTTTGATCTTCACATTTTTTCTCATTTTCTTAGAGAATGGCCAGATATATATTTATAGGTTTTTTAAAAGTTTTTTTTCAAAGCCCTAGAGACGGCGCTGCCCTGCTGCTTCGCCATCCACAGGTGCTCTCTCATGCCTCTCTATACACAACACACGTATATTTTAAAACGAGAATTACTAACCCGTTTATTTTTGGGGGTTTTTGGGTTTCAGACTTTCAGGTTGTTGATTGGCAGCAATGGCACCAGCTAAAGGTACGATTTTATCCCATTTCAGTATTCATGTATAATCTCGACTGCTTATTTAGTCTCACTTTTTGAATATTCAATTCTTTTGTTGTTTGTTTCACATGTTTCGGTTTAGTGATTTTGTAATCTTGGTTTAATGACTCGAAAAGAAAAAATAGAGGTGAAGGATTAGAAGGAAAGTTAAATAAATGGACATAATTGCTGTTTGATAGAAATGACCGCAAAAAAGTAAGCAATATGGCCCTGGCCCTGCCAAGCTGTCTAGATGAAAATAAGCTTCGCCATTAGTGTTTCTTGGTGGCGCAAGAAATCTAAGCTTGGGAATAAGCTTTTTGTTTTTTCAATGGGCATTTCGTATTTTTTACTGATGAAATTATTGAAAGAGAGCTAAGTTAGGGTATCGCTGCGATGCCCCTCAATGAATGACATCCTTTGATATTGGGTTCACTGTTTTCATAATTTTTTTTAAGAAACTGGCTTCGTTATTACACCCTATGAAACTATCGCATGATGTTTTTTATTTCCCTTTTTGCTTCCTGGTAATCATGATTAGTACTGATTAATGGGTTTTTATACTAGTCTAGTAGAATTGTTATTAATCAACAGCATGTGTTGAAAAGAGCAGTTGAGAGCAATGTTAGTTGGGTTTTTCTTAATTTGTGTGTTGCCCATAACTGTTATTTTCCTTCACCATTTGCGTGCATGCCATATGCGCAACAGGCAGTTTGAAAAAGGCTGATCCAAAGGCACAGGCTTTGAAAGCTGCGAAAGCAGTAAAGTCAGGTCCAACCTTCAAGAAAACAAAGAAGATCAGAACTAAAGTTACATTTCATCGACCTAGGACATTGAAGAAGGACAGGAATCCTAAGTATCCTCGCATTAGTGCTACACCAAGGAACAAGCTCGATCATTATCAGATTTTGAAATATCCTCTCACTACTGAGTCTGCAATGAAAAAGATCGAAGAAAACAACACCCTGGTTTTCATAGTTGACTTACGTGCTGACAAGAAGAAAATCAAGGATGCTGTCAAGAAGATGTATGACATTCAGGCTAAGAAAGTGAATACCCTGATCAGGTTGCCAGCCTTTAATGCTCATTTTTCTTTTTCTTTTAATGTCTTTGTTCTTGAGAAAATATAATGCTTTTCTTTTAGCAGTGGTTGATTGACTATTTTGAATCGCATGCTGATGGTGTTTGCCAATAATTGCTTATTTGTTTTTCTGAATTTCATTTTGTTATGTATGAAAAAATCTGTGGGTAATGTTGTTACCTGTACCAAACACACACTCAGCAGAAACTTAGCTTCTATTGGTTTCTTGTTGAAACGTTTTCCTAAATATTTGCCATTTTGTCTGATTGGACCATATAAAGATATTGATCATTACCATTAGAAATTTAGAAAACGTGGATAAGATGGCTGTTTTGGCTCTAGTAATTTTGAACGCACTGATACATCTCATTAGATGTAGTTTGTTAAATTTGGGAATTTGGTTGAATTTTCATCTGCAATGGAAGAGGTTAGGACTCTTTTATGCATGGTAGATCCACGAGACTTGTTGCATGTAATTTTTTCTTGTTGCAAATGTTTGGTCACTTATCTGAGTTCGATGATATTTTGTTCCAGGCCTGATGGTACCAAGAAGGCATATGTTAGGTTGACACCAGACTATGATGCCTTGGATGTGGCGAACAAGATTGGAATCATTTAAGTGCTTGCCCTCTGCTTTCCAAGTGATTTTTTGCTATTTTATTCCAGAGTAAGGCAGTTTTGTTGTGATATCAAGGAGGGAGATTTGCAAACTTGGTTTGAAGTTGTGAACTTGTGGAACTCCTGATTATATTTTATCTCGTGTTTAACTGGCATTGAGAATCAGCCACCTTGTAGGCTTCAAGTTTTGATTCATTGATTCTGAACAATGCATTCGATGAGTTATACCATACATTCAGATATTAGATCATTTCAATGACCATTTTATGTATGTAATTGCGTGATCTGGCATTTTCAGTCAGGTATGGCCACCTAGTTAACTATAGGAGACAGGATTGTTTCATCAGCTGGTGTCCATTTTGGTTGTTGTCATATTGCAGCGCCAGGAGATATGTATTTTGTGTCCCAATTGTTTCCACAGCTGTTAGCTTGAATCAACCGTTACATAAAATGATAGCTCCGATGCCATTTATATTTTTTTTGGTTGCCTTTTTTCTTTTAAAATAATCATGCTATGTAAATCAGGGCAACTGCATCGGATTTCTGCATTCTCTATCGCATTTCAAGAAATAACAGTTCCGCATTTATTGGTCTAAATTTAACAATCAAGAACAGAATGGCAATGATAGCCATCGTTATAGCATCCATCGTTTGTATACCAGTGAGTGGTAAGCATAACTGGCGGACTTGGCCTGGTAGGAGGTAACCAGGCATTGCCAATGTTGGTTGCTTCTTTGCTTGTTTCGACAATTATTGACAAGTAAAATTCTCCTGCGTTTATTTGTACAAAATTGAATTGTTTGTATAACTGTAGCTACAAGCCTACAAGGTTTACTCTGACGCTGCCTGTTTACAGTTAATTCGGCTCTATCAGTGATGAAACCAATAATTCTCTTGAGAGTCTCGTCATCTTCAATCTGTTAATCGAGGATCCCTAAAGAGAGGCACATTGGTTTCTCTGAAGCTCCAACAATTGGAGATTTTTCTGTATTCAATGTGATGAAACAAGTCCACCACCTATTTCTTCAGTTCTAGGGTACCAAATTCTGTAGGATCTCGAGGCGTAGGACTTGATATCGCCCTGCTCTTTCTTGGAAAAAGTCTTCGCTACTTGGGGCATCTGGTAATGTGTGTATAGAAACAAGACGATCATGATAGAGACTAAGATTAAAGACCTATGATCTGCAAAGCGGACAGTTAGAGTGCGATTGAAACCAAGTGTCAATGCAAGCAATGTGAAAGACATGAGTGCAGTTTGGTAAATGCTTCAGCCATTCTCCTTCTTGAAATTCACCCAAGCATACTGCACATTCATTATTGCTCGGTCTTGATTCTTCTCCATTCTTCTTCTTGAACTGAGTGATGGGGAGAGAGTGTATAATGGAGGATTCTAGTCCATGACTCTGCAATTGCATTGAAGGATCTTGAGAGATAACCTCGTTTAGATGCAACCTTTGAACCTGGGTTCTAGAGAAAGTCGCACCACCAACCGCACAGCAAAAGAATCGTTTTTGAAATTTGTAGCAACTGACCAAGACGATGAGGATACAAACAGCAGCAACTGACACAATCATAAAAGTATCCCTGCTTGAACGCAGTTCAAATTCATATCCTGGGGCCGGTGTTGGACTTGAAGACATGCTATGCTTAAGTTACAGATGAAAACTATACTGTTAGAAACCTTTTTTTTTTTAATAATTCATACACCCAAAGCTCTTAGCATAACTACTCTGTTAGGATTTGAACTGGTGACCTATTACAAGAGACCACTGCCACTGAGTTACAAGCTATTTGGTTATACCGTTAGAAACTTAGAATAGAAGGTTATGGTTTCTGAAGGCTTTCAATTAAGCTGAATTGCTGGACATATTAGAGAGGCTAATTCCTGTGTAACTTGGTCTGCGCAGAGACTTTCTTGGAATTCATGAGTAACAGAGTAGGGAACGATTAAATCTATGCAGCCACGGACGTGGACAGATAATTTGATAAGATTGAGAATACTCTATTTGCTTGAGCTGTGATAGTATGGATGATACCAAAGTTCCATTAGTTTTTTCTGAGACAAATGTGATCATGAATGAATTTTCTGCTAATTCGAAAACTACGGTCCAGATTAACATTCAATAGAAAATTTTAGAACTATGGTAGGAAGATATACCTGTTAATTTTCAAACTAAGGTAGAAGATTATTGAATTAAGCATAGTGTTCATGTCACCTATCACTATTCATGGATCTCAAAGCAATATTTGTTCTCTCATGTATATCCTCATCATGGAAATGCAATGGGAGATGCAGGACACATTTTCGAGGCGAGGTTTAAGAACCGGAAGCCAGAATCTTGTGGTAAATTTATGCAAACACAATTTGGAAAATCTCAATTTCACTTCTTATGACTGAAGATCCGATCCCTAAATCTTTTAGCATGTATCAGCTCGACTGAATCAGATTTTCAAATAAAGGCAGCCAAATCTGCACCAGAAATTCGGGAATGCCAACCAGTCACATTTGGAAATTATGTGTGTATTTGTCCAAATGCCAAGACCTAGCAGTGTTATTTTAGCATCAGCAAGCGTTAGCTAGAGGTTACTTCTACTGGCTGCAACTCTGTGAGAATACTAAATAAAACAGTAAATGGAAACAGTAATTAGCTATCACGAAGAAAATGGAAGAATGCAAACCACTGAGCATTTTCTTATGCCATCCATGGCTAGCGCGCACTTACGTTTCAGTATAAACCTTTTTTCATGCGCAGAAGCAGGTTAAACCTACATGTAAAATGTCCTTTGACCTACAAATTCAAGCTTAATATTCAGAATGATTCTGCCAAATATAAATTTTCAAGTGGTGTAGAATTGAGTCACCAGCATTCGACTGTACTGAAGCAAGAAAACGGAATTCTCAAGGACAACATGATGACTCTTGCAGTTCAGTAAGCATCAAATTGCCAATTGCCAGAATCTGGATCTAATTCTGATAGTCCTGCAAATGACTTGGGAAAAAGCATTGAGAGAACCTATGGAAGTTTCCAAACAGTTTTAACATAAAATTGTAAGGCAGTTCTGGCCTGGTCCTTCAATTTTTGACAATATTACCTTCTATGATCTTTGCTGGTATATTGGATTCCGTGTCCTGCAACTGCACGATGGCAAGAATCTCTTAAATTTGCTTCCATCCAATGCCCATCTGGAGAAATAAAGCCACTTCAAACAACGATGAACCCCTACTCCATGCTTTTTCTTGGCTAATAACTTCATAGACGCAGATATTCACGCAAGGACTAATCTATTTTTTCCATTTGGATGGGAATTAATATAGCTCTATTGCACCTCGTGAAATAGATCAATGGAATGTTTTACAACCAGATAGTCAAGCAACGACTAATCTATACTTCTGGGTTAGTACACCCAAAAGTTGAACTAAACATTTCAATATGACTAGAATCTCGTATTTGCTGGAAATGTGCAGCGTGATGGCAAAACAATCCTATACTGTACATTAATACTAGGTCTTAAGATGGCGCCAGAAGTTCAAGGTTGTGTTTAAGGGCATCCATTCCTAGCTACTGCTGCAGTTTCCACAACTATGTCAGTAATACGACTAAGCTAGTGGAAGTAACAAGCCATCTTTCTACTGTGTACTTTTCAGGTAGCAGCAGTTTTGTTTACAAGTGTAGGCTTAGCAGAAATAGAACATCCTGAACTATGTTGTTGTCTAAAGTGTCTGTTAAAATGAGGCAGATTATCAATATTTTATTCCGAATGATCTCCTGATCCGTGAATTACTTCCTCACAGTATCAGGGCAGGGGACATGTAGCCAATACTTCATGGATAACAAATACTGTTTGTTCTGAACTGTTCCAAGTTTCTTAGACGGTTGCGAATGAACACCCTCTTCTATTAGGAAAACATTTGGCGAGTGCCATAATATCTTATCAACTTGATGCTATTAACTCTTTAAGATTTGCTAACTTTGTCAAATGCTAATGAACTAAAAAATTCAAGGATTATCTGATTTTTCAACAAGGAACCAGAAATATAACATTTCATGTACAAAAAAGGCAAATAACCAAGCTAACTAGTTATGTCATTCAAATGCTGAAAACAAAACATCTCATTTACACCCGCAATCACTGAAATTCGATTTTACAAAAAAATGAAACAAAGTATGACAATCTCATTGAAATCTTTGCCGCTTTCTAGCTGGGATTTGATGGATAGCACCAGAATTTAGCAACCATCCGTTGCTTATACCTGAATCAGAAGCACCGGTGGCAAAATCTAATATGGAAGCTGAACACATTTGAGAAGATCCACGAGACAAATCAATGTTTGGTGATGAAGCCAATGGTTGTTGAGCATGACAACTTGAATTGGCAGTGCGGTTTGGAGTTTCACAACCTCCAATAGAAACTGGTGGAATCTTGAACGGTTGCAGTGGAGGCGGATTTCTCCACCGCGGAAGCGGACCTGCAAGAAGAAGTGTTTGAAGCAGAGGACTTGTCTCCATCATAGCCTGCAACAGTTTTCCCTTTTGAGGCAGGACTTTTCCTTTGACAAAACTGTCAATTGCAATATCAGCCGGATCAATCTTAGCCATTGCTGGAGCCACTAAACCCGTTGGTATAGAGCCATTATATTCTGGAACCAAGGTTTTATTCACAAACCCCATGTGACTTGAGTCTGCCATGTTAATGCTGGAGAAATCTGGTGAAGTAACTGCGTCAAATAAGGAATCAACAGGGGATGAGCCATGTGATTGATGGTTATATGTCTCAGATAGACTGTTAGATTCAGTTATACTCGAGTTTGCTTTAGCCGGCATCACGAGAGGGCTTTCAGGTTGTGCTTGAGGAAGAATAGGCAGTAATTCAGCAGTAGTAGAAAGCATAAGTTTGTTAAGTAGTTTTTGCAGTTGACCTTTGGCCTCATCTCTTTCTTGGTTAGCCATCTTTAGGAGATTGAATAAATGCTTAACATACTCCTCGTGCTTTCTCATTTCTTCCTTTGCTTCAACTTTCAGCGACTCTAATTCGACGGAAGTGTATACAAGCTTCTGCTTCAATTCATCAAAGCTCTGTCAATTCAATTAATACAGGTTAATTAGTTCTGCTATTCGCACAAGAATTCAATAAAATATGGCTTAACAGCTTCAAAATACAGATATAGACAGAGAGGATTACTTTAATACCATACAATATTTTCCTCAGTAAAAGCTACAGGGCAACAGAACGATAAAAAAAGAAAGAAAGGAAGAAAAAGCCTCGGTTTCAAAGCGACTCAGAAATCAACATCAATGCCATAAAGCTTCCAATTGGACAGAAATCTACACCAAACATGCTAATACAAAATCACAGAATCCGATTTGGCAGAGACAAACTCCAAATGAATCCAATAGATGAACAAGAATTTCAATGGTAGGAAAAACAGTACCATCTCATTTGGATTCATGCGGATCACAAGCTCTTCAAGTCAAATAGTGTGAATCTTTTGAACTCGAAAAGGAAAGAGAACCAATGAGAGAAAAAAGTGCACCAAATAAACCCAACTTTTAACAGACATTGGTCCCCATAACTTTTGGCATGGAATATCGCAAGTTTACATCAATACAGACAAGTCTCTAATCTTTAAGTTCCAATAAGCAGGAGGGAAGATGAAAAATAGTACAAAACAAGGACCACTTTTTCTTAGAAAACCAAACCGAAAAACACTAGCAGGATAATCATATGAGAGTCAGAAGAAAGAAAAGGCTACTCATTCAAGCGAAAAATTACTATATTTCTGTAAGAGTAGTAATAAACAGTAACAACATCCAAAAGGCACAGAACATCTACCAAGAAGGCTTTAAAACAGCAATAAATCACACCAACAAGGCAGAGTCATAAAAAAGTCTCGAACTTTATAAGGAACTGATAATAACGAGGAGAGAAATGAATTTCAGTTTAGGTCCCATAAATAAAATACATTGAATATATCATACTGTACATACTAAAAATAACAGAACAACAAAAAGCTTAAATGCCAGACCAAACAAGACCCAGAAGAGGATACAAAGAGGAGAAAGAACCTACCTCTTCATAATCCCACATGGAACCCAAATCCTCCATTGTTTTCTTTCTCAAGTTTTGAGAGAAAAGAAGAAACCAAAAAAAGAAAAGAGAGAGAATATCAAGGTATTAGGGGGAAGTTCAACAGAAGGGACTAGTGAGTTATTTATAGAACAACGAAGCACATATGAAGACAAAACAAAGGGATGGCTTTCTCATAAAGTTCACGTCAAAGAAAAAAAAAACATTTTCAATTAATGACGAAGAAAAAAACAAATCTTCTGATTGGAGAGATTCCACTTTCAGTTTCTGCTCTATATGTGATATTAAATTTGTTTTAAAACCAACCCACCCTTCCAGGACCTCTGTCTCTCGCTTAAAATAATACCTTCTTTTTTTTTTTTTTTCTTCGCTTCTCTTCGAGTATATATTTATATGGTCAGTGAATAAATCCAGTTAGATTTTTTGTAATTTTAAAAAAGGTTGTTTTCCTAAAATGTTCTTTTAACGCAGTTTTGTACGGCAAGTTTCCTTACATGCCCTTTCCTTTTTTAAAAAACCAAATTTCCCTCCTTACGGCTGTTTGGGTCAACGAATTATGGTATCTCCATGTTTCATGATGGAAAGACCCAACCATAAAGACTATTGATTTACTTCTTAGTTCCTCATGCTCGGTAATTTGGTTTTTTCTTTTCATTTTCACAAATAAATTACTAGTCATAAATCAAAAGCCTATAAATTATGGATCTAAGTAAAAGTTGATCATAAAATATCATCTAACAAATATCTTTTAAGTTGGTTTGAATAGAAAGAATTTTAATCATTTAAATAATTAATTTTGAATTCGAATCCTTATATATATAAAAAAATTTTTAAATAACTATATCCGTCTTGTATATTCGATCAAATAGTAATGAATTAAATAATTGTGAATTAGATTAAACTTTTGAATTTATAATACCCTTCCGAATCTAATAAATAAATAATATATATTATCTAACGACTAAATCAAACAAAATAAATATTATATAAAAAAATTTAAATAATCATTGCTTACCCAAACTTATTTTTTTTACATTTTGAAAAGAAAAAACTTGAACTCAAGACTTTCTAGAGAAATGGACGTCACGTGGAGGATGGTTATGGTCTTAGGTAATTTTTTTTATTTGATGCTTATCAGCATTTAGTCCGAAAATAAGTTTGGTTGAGTTGGATTACGTATAACCTCCCTAATATAAAGTTGCAGAGATTGAAGGAGCACATTCAATTTCAGTCCCGCAAACTGATTTGAGAATGTCAATTAATTACAACATAAGAAAAGAAAAATATGATTACAGATCAATCCATGTGCAATTTTTTAAAAACTTGAAAAAAAATGAGTTCAATTTTCAAAGCATTGCCTTGTGAAGTAGTTGGTATACCCTTCGCATGATGCGCGTAGGAGGAGATGTGAAATTTTCTGTCATGATTGGATGGCTGCCTTTCTATTCTTATGCCTTTTTTATACAGGAAAAGCTTTTGGGACTATTATCGTAGAATTTCTATTGCATTCAATAAAGTTTTAAAACAATCAAACACCGACAATAATTAATTATCACCGATTAGTAGTTAGTTGACTGACTATTATGAATAATAATCAGATATAATATATATATATATACTTCTTCGAATTTGATCTAAGTTCAGTTAATGAAAAGTATTTACTGATCCAATTTTGTTGATCAATTTTTACCGACATAAATCAAATGTAATTTTTTACAAAAACATGGGCGAAAATGTATACGATACTTTTTTTTTCCCCTCTTAGCTGAGAGAAACCGGTCAGGACTGCAACCTTATTTGATGTACTGATCTCATATAGTAGAAGTCGGAATTGTCATTGGCATAATTATTAATTTACACCATTTTTTAATATTTCTTTTAAAATGGAAACGTTGTTTGTACTTGGTACTCCTTTGTCTTTTATGGAACATACAGGGAACATAAATAACGTGAATGAAACTAGAAAACGTATTGGCTTATTTGTTATAGACATGTTTTCTTTAGTATTTTCTTCTCTCTTTTTTTCCAAGTATCGTTATAGACATGCATTTGTGCGTGGAAGTCATTTTGTGGACCAAAAATTGTTTATTTATTTTCGAGGGAATCTAATAGCTAAAATTAACGGGAGCGCCGGCAACATAGCAATGGGTATATTAATTTATTTAATTGAATGTTTTAGTAAGCTTAAAATAATGGGTTTCGGATTATTGTTTTTTTGTGAAGCATAGAGCCACTTTCTTATATTATCTTCCCAGGGGCTGTCCTAGCTAGCTAGATTGCCTTACGAACTGCCCGAGAAAACTGAAAATCAACCATATAATAGTTGACTTATAATCCATTCTTACACTATTCTAATAATTTGTAGCTTTTGACACACTTAAGCTGTATATAACTATACATTAATTCTTCTCGACCATTTACTTGGCTATATAGCTAGTAGTGTTTGGAAATAAATGAAGTAAGAATATATATATATATATATATATATAAAGCAAAATTCGATAAGTGTGCTTATTTCATGGTTGTATTATGAGTTTTTATGAAGTTTTTCAATTGACAACTATAAATACAAATAATAATATTTATATTTATTGTATAGATAATTAAAATTATTAAAAAAAATCCTAAATTACAAATCATGTCCATCAATTTTCATAATTTAATAACTAGTTAGCGGCTACGATCGTATATAAGCTCTTTCAAATAAAAGTCACCAATGAATAGATTTTATTGCTATGAAAATTGATCTTGCAAATACAACATTTACATGAACTCAATGAACTCAATTGAATCTTTAATTAAAGAAAAATGTTTGTCGACTGATCAGTCTCCAAAGTATTCGTACTTTTTTAATAATTATCACCCTCATTAACAGAAAACATCAAAGTCCTTCAAAATTAAAGATGAAATTTTTGTAACAATTTTTTAATATATATATATATATATATATATAACTTTAATTAAGGAATCTTCAATATTAATTTCTAAACTCGTTTGGAAGCATGACTAGGAATTGTCATTTAGTCAGCTTCAATATTTGATACAACACAAATACTACATTATATTACTAGGTTGTACAAATACACCCACAACACGATATATATATCACAAAAGGAAAAATAAAACCAGTAACATCAATTTTTGCTTCTCGAGTAAAAGCACTCGAAGTCTTATTTGATTATCATGAAAGAAATTATAGAAATAAAAATTTTATTCTCATTCTATAACTGTTTTGTTAAAAGACATAAAGTAAAAATAAGAATGAAGAATGAAAATAAAAATAAAAATTAAATATAATTTCATTTCCATGTGAAAAATGAGAATAAAAATAATAAATGAGAATGATTTTTTTTCAAAATAATGATATATTATTTTTATTTATTGTGTATTAACTAAATCTATCACCGTTATAACCACCACTACTACTATTACTACTATCACAATCGTTATTGAAGGTGTTAATAAAAAAACTATTATATATTATTATTATTATTTCACATATCTACCTATCACCACTATTATAACTACCACATTTACATTTATTGGCAATAGTAATAAAAAAATATTTTTGAAAGGCCATTATTAATATTCCATGATCACTTTTTTTTAACTATTAATATTATTTTTATTATACTATTATCAAAACTACAATTGACAATGATGATAAAAAAAATTATCATTACTTTTATTTTATCATCATTTTTCTTCAATCGTCACTTTTTTTTTTTAGTCATTATTCTTATTTGTATTAAAAATTAGATATTAAAAAATTTAAATTTTATTTTGATTTTTTATTTTTCATTCTAATTTTTGTATTTTTATTCTTATAAGGAATGAACACTTGAGAGGATCAGGGCTTGGGTTCATTCTTGGCTCCTTACTGCCTTAATTTCACAATTCACATGCATGTAAATGGTGTATCTTACATTATGGAAGAACTTAAAGAATGACCCATATTTATGCAAAAAAATAAAAAAAAAAACAAAAACCGGAAGAATTTTCTTGCTGCATTGCGTTTCCTCACAGCTCAAATCCCCGTGTCACGGGTAGCAACAAAATTAATTGCATGGCTATTAGGTCCAAACAAAAAAAAATATTTATTTATTTCTGCATTTTTTTTTAAAGATTGTATGTAAATAACCAACCTGATGAAACCTCGTTCTGACAGAGACCATGAACATGGATGAGGTATTAGTCTTGACAACGAGGAATTTTGTTTCCTTATCCCGACAAGCGGTTTCGGCACTCTTTACCTTTTTTAATTTACAATAACTTTTCGTATAATTTATTTTGGAAGAATAATAACATAACTCGTGTAACATGCAAACACCATACTACTTCAACCTAAATCGTTAGATCAATCATTAATGATGGCATATCTCCAATAAATTATGTCATCATTCCTCAATCGAGCTGTTGGGGTGAAGTAGTATTCTTGTAACGTGCAATCTTGGGCAATGACAGTTGTACGTCTTATGCAATTCTCATTAACATTAATTTAATTCTCCCTTATTCTTTATATAAGTTTATGGAGTTCTCCGAGTAGGAACCAGACAAAGCTACTAAATATATTAGAAGCCCGTTTATGACAAAATTGCTCAAAAACAAAAACTGAGGTCTCTTCTTCATACAATGTATCTAAGTGCTTGTACTTTGTGCATTTGTCTTTTATTCTTTGATTGTTGCTTGTTCTCTTAACTCTCTCTCTCTAAGATTTTTTACATGACCAATTTTTCTGTGCTTATCAAATAGTACGTAGTAACCAAAAATTGCAAATTTAGTAAAATAAGTTACCTTCGACGAATGGAAAAGACCGGAAAAGTTACCCTAGTCGGCGACATATGCTCATCTAGAAATACGGCCTATACGGTAAATGTCTGTAGCCGCGTTATGCAGCCGCACTAGGGGTATTACAGTAATTAGGTAAAATTATCTTTGAAGAATGGTCCTAAAAAGTGGAGACCAGTTGCGCTTTTACCTTCCTTAGCTTCCTAACGGGTAACGACTTTACCTGTCCA